TCAATAGTCTTTGTGCAGATGCTGAAAATGCTATTCATTATATGTAACAGGCACAAAGACCAGGTGAGGATGTCAGTGTGGTGGGTGGACTTGGAGCATGTCTGACTTTCATATAGACCCTTAACACGACCTAACAGTTTTTATTTTCATAAATGATGAAGTACTCTTCAATGTCTGCTTGCATCAATTTAACTGGTGGGCGGTTTGCCAGATAAAATTGCATTTTGTTATGGCAACATCTAACTAAAGGAGGGGGCTGTGTTTCTTTTATATGCGACCTTTTGCCCCAACTACATGGTCCCAAAACACATTTATTGTATGACAGAGCTTTGGAAGGCAAAGGTGTTTTAAACTCCTAACTTGTCAAAAACAGCCTTGTGTTTGAAACTATGACTCTACATTCCTCCAGTGCAGTTTTTAGGCTGCCTCTAGTGGCCATATTAGTTATGACAAGAGTATAGGAGGAAATCAAGTAACGTAGTATAAATAGTGACAAAGTCCACAAAAAAACCAAGTTGTCTTACCCATGAAACAGCTCTTTTGAACTTAATTTACGTCATATATGTAACAACCTGAACTTCAACTCCTACTTAAAGTGGACCTATCATGCTATATTTAAATGATATATTGTAGGGCCATACCTATATAAGGTATATTTATACGTTTCTGTTTTCAAAATACCAAACAGATCATGCATTTTAGCCATGCCTCATTTCGCTCTATGTGCTGTTTGCTGTCCACGGGGCTGATTCTTTGAGACCACGCCCCCCTGCAGGAGAGGGGAGCCGTGCTCTGATCAAGTCAAGAGGGGGAGAAAAAAAGATCTCCGTTCTCCGTGTTTTATTTATATATACAGTCTATGGTTTTATTATATTATTATAGGCCTATAGAGTCTTTATTCATTTGTTTTAAAGCTCAATAAATAACAAAGAAGACCTTTGACCGGCACTTTTCTAATTTTGTCCGGAAGATTTAAACTTTAACGGACATCTTGACCGGCGAAAGAAACTGAAACTGAAACTCTGCCGCACGGTCCCCTCGTTCCTTGGAAGAGGCGGAGAGGTGGGTGTTTGTCATCTGCTGGTGGACTAACCGGAGAGAATTACAGTGCTTGCCTCGATGGGGAGGGATTGCATTGAATTAAAGCAGCGGGAGCAAACGCTTGCCTCGGGGAGGGAGAAAAAAAGCCACAGCGGAGAATAAACAGAAGGGTAACCATGGTTACCATATGCGCGGGAAGTCTTCTTCGCTGCTTTTATGGCAGACTACAGCGCCAATTACAGGCCTGGCATATGTACTACAGCGTCTCCAGCGCTTTCGAGCGGCAATGGCCGGCCGTGGCCCAACCCCACATTCCCCTGATAGGTGGAGAGTTGGCCCAATAGCCGTAGCGCCACTTCTGTGACGTCATTGAAGTGTTCAAATCTGGATCAGTTTTTATCAGATCAGTTGCAGCCCCTTTTTTAGAGATTTGGGTATGGAGGAAAATAGAGAGGGTTGTGTTTTCTGACACTTGGTGAGTTCCCTGGAACACCGGGGACACATATTCATGTATAAAAGACGTACAAAAGTGCATTTTGCATGATAGGTCCCCTTTAAGTTACCAAACAAACACACCTAGTTTAAACCAAAACAGAAACTTTTCCTAAACCAAACCAAGTAGTTTTGTAGCCTAACCAAGAAGTGGACACATTTGTGGTTGTTTGCTGTGTTTGTTAAAAATGATGCTAAATAGTACCCAGTGCGCTTTAAAGTAACTTCACAGGGTCGTGACTTAGCCTCTGTGTCACAAGTTTAAAAAATAAGAATATTAGAAGGTGTTGGGATGGCAATGTCACCTGTAAGTACTGAATCGAAAGAAAAATAGAGTTTTAAAAAAAAAAAGTATGAGCATCCGTATGTGTGCCTGTAATGGTAACTTGAAATAATATTTGAAGGCAATTCTTGGATATCATCAATAACCACAAGCTCAGGTCATAATTAACAACCAAACTGTTGTCGCACTGTAAACTGCTGTAATTGTAGTGTTATAAAAACACGCACAAAAAGATAACAAATATATCAAAGCTCCCATCTGGGACTGTTCATGGCAGACATTTTACATCTATACTGTCAATCATGAACTGCCTTAATTTATTTGTTGGATGTGAAATATCCTGAGTGAAAAGCGGCCGCATGCAAAATGAAAGAACGAGTTAATTAAAAAGCAGGCAAATTTCTCTCAATGAATAAAGGAGCAGGCAAGCTTGCAGACAGGAAACTAAATGCAAACAAAGCTCGTTTTTTTTTGGATCTTATTATTGTCTTACTTTTCCTATTTCCTTGAATCTGAATAAAGTCATTTGAACCAACCCGCGGGCCCGGCGTCGGCCCAGCCGGCTCTAGCAGCCCAATGCTAGGATTCATTGAAGCAAATCAAATTTGTTTGTCTCCGTGTTTGTTTGTCCTGGTGTTTGTTTCTCTCATTGTTTGTGTTTATACACATTTCCGTTCATGGCCTTCTCAAGTGTCTCTCCGAATCTGGCAATTTTCTGCCTGGTCGCCTCTAATGTGCCTCTCTGTTTATCTGCTGTCACAACACAGCTGATTTATATATATTTGCATATCCAGGAAGTGACATTGCAGAATTACATTTAATTTAAGGGGCTGGAAATCAAACATTTGCAAACAGGAAGAAGAAAATAGTGTCTGTACCTGTGGCACAGATTTACAGATGCCATGAGTTTGATCAGATATGAAGTGAAGTCAGCTTCAGGAATATGACTAATGCCATTGGGAAGATAACCAGCGTAGTGTGAATTCAATCACTTTGGCAACCAAATGCTAATGACGCAGGGGGAAACTTTTTTCAGGCAGCGGAGATGGGCAATATTGCTTTCAGCAGGGGCTACGAACTGGCAAATTGGAACAAAATCAAGGCTGGAGGAGATACATGTGTGGTGACAATACTGCTGCTGCTGGCTCACATGGCGCATATGTACTCCTTCAAAAATGTTACCCATTCAATGTGAGTGAGACACATCAACAACACATGCATCTATAAAACAAGCTCTTTTTTCATAAAAAATAACCCATGTTAAGATTTGGGGATATTTGTGTGCATAAACCCCCCTGACATTCAAAGTGTCTTGGTAACCACCATGGCAACGCCTGAACCAAAATGAGTACATCAGTAGAGATAATAGATTGGAAAAAGATGGCTGAATTGGTGTGGTTCTCCAAACAAGATGAGGATGGATGTCAGCCTGCTGTGTTTATAGGATGTGTGATGACAGGGTGTTCCGAGTCAAGTGTCATCCGCATTTCTCACACATACACACACACACACACACTCACTCACACACACAAAATGCCCTGAAATTGCCCAATTTAAAAAGACACCACATAACAAATATACCTCACTACCTCACCCGAGCATATCTTAAAGGGACAGTTCGCTGCAAAATCAAAAATACATTCCGTTTTGCCTCTCATATGTGGTGCTACTTATACAGTTATAACATGTTGTTGTGAGTCTCCTAGTGGAGGAGATTGGCCGTAGAGACGTCTGTGCAATATAAGGGAATTTGATGGGACTTGTCTTGTGGTGCTAGGAAGCATTTTCTTTCTTCTTCTACTAACTACACCATGAATGTTTAGATTGTGCACAGTTTCAAGCTGTTGGTCCATGAGTAGATGTACTCGTCCTTTGATGAGTCCATACTGTTTTCAACGGCAGTTCCCATAAAATTGCTGACAACAAGGTCTGTGGATAATCTTGGGTAGCCGGAACATTTAAAGAATTGCTGCAATATCTTTTTCTAATGTAGTTTTTGGCAATTTGAGCAATACATGCAGATTTGCCGCTGGTTCCATTATATCGGAGGGAAGGGAAACATCTCTTGGATACTCATACACCATTGAGAATGAAAAATAGCCTTACAAATAAGAAGAAAACTATGTGCTTTTGCTTTTGGGGGGAACTGTCCCTTTAGCTTTTGGGGGGAACTGTCCCTTTAAGTGAAGACAATGGTCATGTATATATCCATGCTAACTCCTAAAATATACAAACACATAGGCAACACAATCTAAACATATGCATGCAGATACACACATTCATACATTCATGCCCACCCGCAATGAGCACACAAACATTTCTGATTATAAGCTTTCATAATCTCAGGTTTTTCTGTAGTGAAAGATGGAAACGATGAAAGACTGAGGGAAAGAAAGTACATGCAATTAAAGGCTGAGAGAGAGAGGAGAAAGGAGGACAGCGAGAATTTGAGTCCAAAGATGAAATGTTCCTCTGAGAAATGAAAGAAAAAACATCTCAAAAAGTCTTCTATTGTCTTGCATACACGTAAAAGTGATTTTAGAATGTGCTAGAGTGAAGGCGGTTTGGTGTTAAGTGCACATTTCCAAAGACACAAAAGTTCAATTGTGTTTGTCAGTGTGAGTTTCTGTGTTTGCGTGAGAGACGGTGAGAATTACAGAGGGAGACAGAGGGACTTTGAGAGCGAGTCGGTGTGTGCATAGATGAGGGTTTTCATGCAAATGTAACATTTGGGACGGTAGCGCGCGCCGCCATTTGCATACTCATTCACCCCGACTTGTTTATAAGTGAATAAATCCAGTGCTGCTTGGAGTACAACATCTGCTGCTGGGCCACTCACAGCAACACACACACACACACACACACACACACACACACACACACACACACACACACACACACACACACACACACACACACACACACACACACACACACACACACACACACACACACACACACACACACACACACACACACACACACACACACACACACACACACACACACACACACACACACACACACACACACACACACACACACACACACACACTGCACCCTTGGAATTACTATGCGACTATACCACATGTGTGCAAATGCATTAATATTTGTAAATATATCACGTGTTGACTTGTATGTCTGCACTTCTAGATGTGTGTGTGTGAGTGTGTGTTTCCCTTACCTTAGAGGTGTTGACTCGTCCCTCCTGGAAAGAGCAGTCGCTGGCGTCCTGTGTGCACATGTGGCGATATTTGCACCAGTGACAGGGAAAGTCTCCGTTAACGCAGGAGAGGCACCTGGGGGTAAAGCAATAATATGAAAACATTTGTGGAAAATATGAAATACGGTCATAATTTAGCAGTGTCACTTATTTTTCCTAAAATGTTCTTTAAAGGAGTTTACACTGCTTTTTGTTCCTTTGGTTACTTGATAAGCTAACAGTGTTTTGCTGCTCATGCTAACTATAGCTGTAGAGAAATGCTAGGTAGAAATAGACATAAGGTCATTTAGAAACAGTTAAAAAGTAAAACATGTATTGTGTAGCACTGACACGTTTTTAACAGGTGTCTTTGTCACAATTAGAAAACTTCACATGTATACAAGTTGTTGGACTAAAAACACAAGTATCTGTCCAAGAATAAACACAAATGAAATTTAGAAAAAGTTCAATTTTGCCAGTTGCCTGTCCAATGCTCACATTGTAATCCAAAAGACAGTTAATACAAACAAAACAATGACTCAATATATTAAAAAAAGCTGCCTCTAAAAGCATTTACAGTCGGAGACAAAAACAGACATTTTGAAGGAATGTCTGTGTTTATATTTTCTTAATTTCAATTAGCATAAAAACACAACTGCCAGCTACAACCATTACCAAGCAAAAGAGACTTCAATTCCTCACACATCTCATACTGTAGGATAGGAGAGTTTCCGCCAAGAACAACTTTTATGGAGGACGCACATTATATTATGACAGGCCTAACGTGGACGGGTATCAACACTTTTGCACAGCATCAAATGGTTACGGCCAAAACTCCAGAAATCACGTTGGAATGACGCGTGTCACCGTGTCCCCGTGCATTAAGACTTTATTCCAGCTGTCAGCCAGGCAGAGAGGGAGAGAGAATCCTTGGCGATCCACTCCTCCCTCCTTATTCTCCATGCTTTGAGGCTTACAGGGAACTAAGCTGGCAGACCAAGATAAGCCTGTTTTTATATAACACTTGCTTTTTTTCATCTTCCTCTTCTTTTTTAGAGTTGAGGAAGCAATATGAATGTATGTATATTCAAACATGGATTACCACACCAAAACAAGGCTATCAAAAATGAAATGTGAGGGAAGTTGTACAATTAAAGAAAGGTTAGTTTAGGATTTCACTTAACATTAATTCTGAGTATAGTTAAAATAGTTATTCCAATAGCAAAGCATGGTTCTCATTATGAAACAGGAGAAAGAAAAAGAAAAAAATATATTTTCTCAACAACGTTATGTGTCAATTCCTAGAGTGTATATATAAATGACTACTCATACATATTTACATCTGTGCTGTGTTAAATCTCACTTTTTTTTCTTCTCATTCTCACATTCTTGACATTTGAATGCAGGAGGTCTTGGCTAGCTGAGAAACCACTTACTGTCGCAACAAGTCAAAAGTTGAATAATTACAGAGACTGACACAAGTTGACGTTCAGTAACTTTTAAAAACCCTGACATTCTCTTTCATCTCAAACAAGTCCTGGCTCTGTCGTCTTTACACACCTCTGAACTACATTTCACTTAACTGGCTTAAGAGCGTCAAGCTCTAATTACATGTTACGTCAGTCCCCTCTCTTATATGCTGTCACTGTACTCAATCAGGCATCCTAAAACTCAACCCACACACACCCACTGTCTCTGCCCATCAAGTAACATCTACCCTGACTGACTGGGAACCGATAAGGTCCTTTGTATGTTTCCATCATCCAGTTATTGGTGCCCATATCTATGTTGCTTAGTGTAGCTTCGTTGCTATATGTAGTTTTGATTCGTTCTGCTGAAGCTCTTAGCTGACATTTTGTGACAAACTTTTTTTCTGTAGTTAGATGAGTAGATTGATGCCACTCTAATGCCTATACACTAAATATGTAACTAATAGCCTAGCTTAGCATAAATTAGAAGGAAACAGCCAGGATGGAACCCTGAAACCCTCTTTAACACTAGAACCGCCAGGGGTGGCTGTATACCTAAAACCGCCAACGGGTAAAATGTACCCGCTATTAGAATGCATTGATTTTCAAGGTACAATGTTCTTTTATTTATCATACTAGAACACAGGGTTAACAGTGAGTTTTGATCGCACAGTGATGACACTTATACCAATAGAATCTGTGGACTCTCAGCTTTCATCTATCTATCTATCTATCTATCTATCTATAAGGAACCGCAGTAAACAACAGTCGTTGCTATAGCAACACGTCATGTTTATGTTTACGCGTGGCAAAAATCACTGCATTTTCTATAAGGTAAATATTACCCGCTGGCGCTGATGGGTATAAATGGCAATTTCTTTGGCCATTTTTTCAATCTGACTTCATATTGACAATTTTTAACAACAGAGGGTGCTACATACTGTAACACACTTTCAGGAGAAGTCACATACTGGGAGACTTGAATATTTTATTGAAAAAAAGTTACATACAATCAAGAAACAGCAGCGGGTAAAATGTACCCGTTGGCGGTTCTAGTGTTAATGGTCACACATACATGCACACAGCACACACAGTGAAATTTGGCCTCTGCATTTAACCCATCCTAGAACTAGGAGCAGTGGGCAGCTATTGCACAGCGCCCGGGGAGCAATGGGAGTGGGGGGTGTCCCGTGCCTTGCTCAAGGGCACCACGGCAAATGCCACTCCAAGTAGCAGTCCACACTCCATATTTTAGGTCTGTTCGGGGACTTGAACCGTCGACCCTACAGCTCCCAGTCCAAGCCCCTACTGACTGAGCCACTGCCGGACAAACCAGACTCTTCAGGGACTCTTGCCGTGATTTTGAACGTACTGTTTCGTGTCATTGTTAAATATGAAGTCAGCTCAGGCCTCACACTGCGGTAACGTGTGCCACAGAGAGCAAAACCAAGGTAATGCCAAGAGATCTTCAATTTCCACCTTGCTTCTGCCGTAACACTACAGGAGCAGTGAAATGCAGGTGGCGGCGGGCTTTAACGCAGTTCCACAAGCATGTCAGTGGCTTTCAAGTAACGATAAAAGGAGAAATGCCCGTCTTTATGCAGTTCAGTTAAGTGTTAAATTCATCTGTTAAAAATGGCAACAAATTGGCAGAGCAACATAGCAATTTGTGGATAGGAGGAGCTAATTCTAAGCTAACTAAGCTAATGAATAAAATATTCTCTTTTTGTTAATGAATCCCCCTAAATACTACACGGTCCTTTAAAAGCTGCATGACATTCCTTTGCAAGTCTCTTTTCATGTTAAGTGAAAGCCAGCATTAGGGATTATTGTACTGTAAAATGCCTAAACCCATAAAGCCATATTGGGCACAGTGGGACATTCATTTCACAGAACATTAACCTAAACACACAAATGTTTATGTTGCTACCTTATCAGTGACAGATACAACACAGCAGTGATTCAATCTACATTCCTTTTTTATTCTTTCAGATAAAATCTGGCTCTTTCTTGGGGAAGAAAGGAGTGCTTTATTATTTGGAAGAGCTCCAACTAAATCAAATTCAAACTTTTTCAGTTTGAAAAAAAATAAATCACAACACCAACATCCCTGTTTGACTGACAAGCGATCTGTGACAAGTGCAGTGCAAAAGCATCACATAAATGAGCCTCCAGGGGAGTTTAAAAGCGGGTCCTCCAAACTGAAGGACAATTGCTCAGCTCACAATGCCACCCTGCCGGCAGAGAGACTGACTTTAAATTGGATTTCAGTCTAATCCGCGTTCTGTCTTTGTCCCTCTGTCCTTGGTTTTATTCAGATTTCAGAGGGTTAACTGGTAAATCATCTATGCTGGAGTGACAGAGTGATAGCTGTTTCATATAGCCGCCGTTAAGCTGGTGAGACTACACTGAACTGCAGTGTGAGTTTATAATCAATGCCAGAGGATTTCTATGGGGAGAAGGGTGGACTAAGGTTATGCTAACACTCTGATGTTTGTTAGCAGAACTGGTGAGCCAGTTCCTCCTCACTATTAACCCCAGGGTTTATCGATTTCTTGTTCGCAGGGACGATGTGCCCACACACTGCTCATGACACTCGCTGACTGAGAGGCACCTACACACACAAGCTGTCGGCTGTGTTGACATCGTTGCATTCCTCTGGGTCACCTGGGCAGCGGAGACTTGACGTGTACGGTAGGGCTGTCAATGTCTGGACGACTGGCTCGGGTAAGTGGCTGCGCTGCTGCAATGTAGTCAATAATATCCCCTGCTATTTAACAAGGCCCAGCCACCGAGTCAAACGCCTTTTCATCGTCTTCCAAGCTTTTGTTCTAGCGAGGCTGGATCGATGGAACAAAGCTGATGATATGCGAGCAACCGCTCCGCACAAACATATATGAATGTGCCCATTTAATTCTGCTCAATGAAAGGATAAAGCAGTGATTCTTTCCTCATTAGGAAGCATCTAAAGCCCACCAAAACTCAACATGTGTCTAGCCAAATGAAGTAGGCCAGTGACCCATTTTGAGGCACAAGGCGTACAGCTTTAATATCTTAATCAGTACTTTAAGCAACTATAGGCTTGTTGTGATTGCGATTAAAAGCTCAGATTGGCTTGACATCATATCTCCCATATATCTCTCATGTGGATAGTGTTTAGAAGAGAGATAACACTGGCTGTGCTACGAGAGCTATAAATAGGCGTCTTTGTGTTTTATCCAATAAAGCTCCAAAGTGAGCGGCACTAAAGTGAAGCATACATCATTAAGTTATACAGCACAGGGAACCAAATGAGAGGTTTGGATTCTCAACAGGGGAGCAAGACTCATTATAACATATCATTGCAACTTGTCACGGCAATGTCCAATAGCAGTAGGTCTCAACCCGCAGTTTAATTAAAGCTGGGTCACATTAATTGAAAAATGGACCAACAACTGTTTCCAGAAAATACTCTAATGGCGATGTAATGAACAGAAACTGTTTCCAACAACATGCCAAAAAAAGTTGCCAATGGGTAACGTAGACAACAGGGGGCCAAAGCGAACCGTCTGCCTGGAAGTGACGGTCCGTCATGGGGGCCCAAGCGTGGGCTGCTCCCCTCCCGTGAGTGCTTCCTTTCACTGCTCCCCTTTCATATTGTAATGGTCATGGTGGCCTGTGGCTGCGGCGCTAACCTTTTAGCTGTGTGGGACGCATTGTTCCTCACACAATGGACGCAATCTCACGCTTTAAATCTGTCTTCCCCTCTTCATGCCTCCTCCTCGGTTTGCTTTTTACCTCACCAGCTCTTGGGGAACGTCCCTTGTTGCCCTCTTTCCTCCAGCGCTCTCATTTCACTTTGTTTCTCTTCCTCTGTTTAAAAGATCCATCATCCCTGCTTAATTAAACCATTCCAAACCTCTTTTTTTATGCAAATGTATCATATTGTAACAGCGTATGAGACTAGCTCGCAGCATGATATGCTTTCTGTGCGTTCTCCTGACTGTGAGTGCACCTGCTCTCGTGTGTGTCTGTGGCTGGTGAAGCAGGTGCTGCATCCACCTTCATAGCGAGGCGGTGGGAAGTCGCACACAAGCCAGTCTGGGCGCTTGCCTGCAGGCTACCAGGCTTCTGCATCTGTGCGTCTGTGTGTTGCGAGCATGTGCTACACTTCCCCTCGCCTGCCACGCCCACGAGGAGAGCTCCATTATCTGCTGTTGAACTGTGCCGCCTCCTGCGCCCGGCTTCCTACAGGCGATGTCAAAGATTCAGGGGTAAAAGGTGATGGGAGAGGGGGAGTGGTGTATAATTTGTTGGTTTAGGTTACAGCTGCCGCGGTGATAACTGCACTGTAGTGGCACAGTCCCGCGGAGTCCTGTGGGGGCCAGCGGAGCCAACATCAAAGACACTGGGGGGGAGCTAGTAAATAGGCACACAAACGAGAAAACTCTTCCTGCCTGCACAAACATTGCATAAACATATACAACCAATACATTGCAGGCTCTTTAACTCCCAAGGAACAAACAGAAAACTCCACACATGTTCCCACTGTTATACAAAATGAATCAAAGCCATTGAACTATGTCTGGAGGCCCTGAGAAGTGGCCCAGGTGAGCCCTCTCGACATGCCCACTCCATTATGACCATCTCCACACATGCACCCGGCTACAGCTAATTAACGGCCTATTACTATGCAGATATATTCAGGGCCAAGAGCAGTGCGCAGGCAATAAATGGGGCTTGATGAACGAGAGAGGGGCAAGAAAAGGGAGACGGGGGGAGGAGGGCTAAAAAGGGATTGGAGACGAGAAAGTAAAAGGCAGACAGGAGGAAGGTGGGAAGGCAGGGGGGGGACAGAGGGCGAGGGGGGAGGATGGAGGCAGAACAAGTGCACTTCACACTCCTTAGTACTAGATGCGTGTACTGCTGGTAATTCAGGAAGTATGGCCAATATTCACAATGTTCTTCCCTTTACAGCTTTTTTAATAGAGGACAAATGTAGTCTAAAATCAACTTCCTTGGCAATATTATCACTTAAAGCATTATTGGTCTATTTCCTTCATCTTTATTGTTTCTGAGATGCATTAAAAATGCTAAAAATAAATAAAAAAAGGCAGACAAACAGAGTTTCTAAGGTTCTTAGTTATTGGACTATTTGTCTGTATTTCTCTTTGATTTAACTTATGTCGACACTCATTTCCTTTTTACAAATGTCTCCTCTATCAAAAACAGACAGAGAGGAGGAGGGAAAAAGCCCCACATGCATCATTTCTTTGGGATATTCCAAATGATAGAAACATTAGAATAAGTAATGCAGTCATCAATATATGCTTGGCAACAGAAATATCAATTCACTTTGAGTGTGCCACGGATGCATCTTCTTAGCAGGTGTATGGACACAAAGTGCAGATGCCTTCAGTAAATGAGAGATGTGAGTCTGTGCCAGGCTGAAGAGACTGAAGAGAGAGAGTAACAGCGACTTTAGAGCAGTAGCCAAGAGTCATTTATGGAATGACATTTTCATTTAACCTTTATTTAACAAGGCAGGTCAATTAAGAACACATTCTTATTTTATTGTCAGGACAATCTCACTCTGGTCCTGCCTGCCTCTTTTCTCTTCCTGTGGAGGTTAAACTGAACATCTGCACTGGCATTTAGAGACAGAGACACTTCATTTTAGAAAAAAACAATTATTTCTGGTTAAATATTGCAAATGCCGTTACAGGAAAGGGAAAACCCAAAAGCATCAAACAACCTCTTAATATTATAGCTTTTGCAATGTTAAAGTCTACAAATTGCATTTTTAAAAGGACTATTCTTCAATCCAGCCTTATTTGTCGTATACAACACACTGAACCATGCATATACAGCACAACAACTCCCTTTAAAATCAGTGCTGAAAAGCCAATCAGTATATCAATGCTTACAATATGGATAATTCATTTCCAGGAAACACGACTGACGTGTTTTAAGATCCGAAAGCTTGGCTGCTCTCCTAGGTCCTGCATGGTTAGGAATCGATGTATTATTTCACTCACCAGTACTCCCTTTATTGCTTGAGATTTAATTAACTAATTGATTTGTAAAAAGCTTAAATACATTGAATAATGAATTAGCAAAGGTTGCATGCTGCTCTCTACGTAACAGGAGTAATTTGCAGGCCAATATTTTAGCACTACTGCTTTTAAGAAAGGGCCGCAGTCCCCACTCTATTGATCACTGCTTTCCACCAGTCTGCATCTTGCAGGACATATCTAATTCCACTTCATGCACACTTAGCAACAAACTTTTACCTATGAAAAAAAACAAAATACTTACGATTGGTGGACGCTGCAGTTGTAGAAGATAAAGTCAACGCTGGCAAACTTCTTCCCCGTCTCTTTCGACTTCAGATACAACTTTATAATGCGTCGGTCACCTACAAGGAGTCACAAAACACTGTGTAACCATTGCTTTTCTTCTTTTACAGTCATCCAATATCTCTATTGAGTACAACAGATGTTATCTTATAAAGTCAGTATATGGAAAATGTTTCATGAACCCAGGATCAGGCCCAAGCCCAGGCAATACATTCGGAAATGTTAACTGCCTCATTTTTTGGAGTTACTTGTCAGTTCTTGTACAGCTTTGGAGCCGTAATATAACGGCTGGAGAGTAAGCAGAGCCTAGAGCTGAGTCAATAGAATTTTAAAAGGGAAGCTGCTCAGCTGTCCATATGCATTTATGGGTTTTGTGCATTAAGTTAGTGAATCAGCAGTTTCTCATGTTAATAATCACAAAGAAATGGTTGCATTTAAGGAGCAGATTGACTCGTGTTTCTCACAGTTGAATAAACAGGCTGAATGAAGCAAACTTTCTATTTTTGACACTATCAAACAAAACTGTTCAACCGAGAAGCACATAATGATGCACTGCCTTTTTTTCTCTCTAAGACAAAGGTTTAAAAGTTAAGAGCCTGAAATGTGACAAAACTATAAAAAATTCCGAATGTGCAACTTCGAGAAACCCAGTGAACCTAAAGCGCTCCCAAGTTCACAACTGTGTTAGCCTAACTTATTTACTGCAACAAGTATATGATGCCCCAATCGGAAAGATATAAATAAATAGCCTAATGTTAAATGCTAACAAATGTAGCCAGTTAGCTAAAGTGACAACAATATCAAAGTCATTATGAATCAACTTTCTAACTGCTACAGTTTATTGACACAAAGTCAAAATAAACATCGCCATGCTCGCTCCTAGCTTAACAATGTCGTATTTGCTACCCAGCTAACCAGCTAACCAGCTAACTGGCTATATAGTTAAAGTTTTTATTTTTGTAACTGTGTATTTCTAGTGTCTTAAATTACAGCATTGTCCTACAGTTATTTAAAACAAAAATCTTTATCATGTTTGTGGATTTAGCTAACTCAAGCTTACCGGCTAATTGAAGGCTATTGAGCTTGACATCTTAAGAGAAACAAGGGGGTACCTGATTAACTCTGAAGAATTATGAAAAGTGAAAATAGGGGAAAAAAGCTTTTTAAAAAGGGGCAATTGAAAAAGTATATTTAGTTAACTTCTCTGATTCTGAAAATAAATGATAAAATAACATAAAATAAAGACATGTGCTCTTATCTCCACGTTATTTAACAAATTGTAGATTCATTCATTTATTTTACACAATCCTATGATTATAATAAAATGATAATTCATTCTCAAAATGAAAATTACATTTAGCAACAGGTAGATTCCACAACAGAGTACCATTGTCATAGTAAAAGTCAGTCATTGTGATCCCACACCATAATTCTACAATTCAACAATCGATGCACATGATGTGATTTGGTCAGGTTTAGAACAAATTGTCTTTACCTTGGTCTCGAGTGATGGGCAACACTTCTTTTGTCGAAGGGGACAGGCAGAAGATCCGTCCCCCGTAGATGCGTCCTTCTGTCTCTACATAGTCCTCAAATGAGCAGTTCACTCCAGCAGACAAACTGGGCACATTCTGTGCCTGAAGTGACAACTAGAGGAGGAAGGAAAGCAGAAAGGAGAGGGTGAGGGGCAACATAAAGTTAATGTACTATTGGTGATGCCATTAGCAAGATTTTGATTGTCTGACTCAAATACGTGCATATATGTGACTCTTCATCTTAAATTCAAAATGATTGACGAACTGCCAGCTATGACTCAAGAACACGCTTCACTACATCTAATTTCACATTTATCTTGCTCATTTGTGCTGTCTATCTTCCTTTCTTCCACGTCTACCTGTTTGACAACAACACACCACCACACACACACACACACACACACACACACACACACACACACACACACACACACACACACCACACACACACACACACACCACACACACACACACACACACACACACACACACACCCACACACACACACACACACACACACACACACACACACACACACACACACACACACACACACACACACAGACACACTGTACCTGCACTTCTGACATGGTGACGGAGACGGTGTCAGGTTGGACGGAGAGTCGCACGCACTGCTCCACTCTGGTGGTGAAACGCTGAGGCTCCTCTGCTCGCTCACAGCTGTCCTTCCTCGAACATCTGGAGGTGGAAGATACAATAGTCATGACTCCATTCAAAAACAGTTTGGCAAGTATTTAGTTCACTTTTACTTGCCATGTTAAATCCACACTAGTCATTACTATTGGTTGAGATAAAATGCACGTTGTTTGTAGAAAGATTGGCATTGGTACCATCAGAAGCCTCTTAGGGAGAGATAGAACTGTAGTCTGGCTCCATCATTAAACCAATATGTATGTGTACTTAACGTGAGGTTGCCTTAACCTAAATGTACCCCTGGTTTACAATGGATTAAGTGCACTTATACATTATTAAAAGGCTATCACTATGGCAGACAATCTAAAACACACCATAGTATAGTACAACAGTCAAATATAGAGCCCAGCACACAGCCAGAGTAAAAAAACAAATGGGGCATAGTGTTAGTTCGGGCGGTCACAATGCATTAGCTGATTGGCACCAGCTGCTCAGTCATGCCTCACCATCAGAGGCTCATTCATCTGGTTGGCTATCAGCTGACTAGTAACATCCAATTAATTTAACACAGGTGTACATGGTGGCGTTTAAAACCTGACACCTCAATAAAACTCTGATAGCTCATCATGCCAGCCCCACCCAAACGTACCTATGTGCCAATCATTTGGTATTGCAGACTTTACAAATATTTGGGTTACTATATATTTACAGTAGATTGTCTGGCTGATCACATACAAAGTTCACAGTCTAAACAATGTAATGCAAGATTAATGGTGTATAAACCACGTGAATTTATGTCTATTCACATATAACCTACTGTATGTCATTGTTATCCATGACAAATGATGTATGTATACAGTGCACCAAAGTAAGCACCAATTTGAAATCGTTGTTGAAAGAGAGTATCAGTAGAAGTCCCATTTATTTAATTTGGTGAGTGGGTCAGAAAACAATGTCATTTCACCAATGGGGCAGCTGGTAGCCCATCATACAAGTAATAGAAAATAATGTATTTATGACAATTTTCATAAACAAAGAATGAGGGAAGGACTTCTAATATCGACAGCTTTGACTTTGTCATTCAAAAAATGTAATTTCTTTACACATGTATGAATTCATAAGATCACAGAGTGATTTTAAAGTTTTTTCTTTGCTGAACATAACGGCTTAAGAGACCACAAATTGTGTATTTTTTGTTGACACACAAAGCAGCTCCACATAATACTACTTGTCACAATGTAACATTATCTGCAGAGAGCCCAATCTAATCAATGAAATTACATAATGAATTCAACAAAGCAAACAGTATATGCACTTACACGTTATGCAGCACACACCAGCCACAGTGAGGGTCCCCTGCTCCGAGACAAGTTCCACAGGAGCTGTACTGCTCACAGCTCTCCACCGGTACACGGGTCACCTGGAATTGAAACACACACATAGAAATACACACTTGGTTAATATTGCACGTAAACCCTGTTCACACCACCTTCAAACAGCTTATACCATATAGGCCTGGTGTACGCAGGATCTACCGGAGGTGTCCTGTGCCTGGAATATGAGATTAGGAGGGAACAAGCCCACTGTGACTACTGTATCAGAGATAAACAGCTCTGGAGGTGCTGCTTACAACTCCACACTGCGGCATACCAGGCTAGCTAGAGGGGGGAGAGTCGAGGTTTAAACACATGTAAACACACACTTGGGTTAAGATTACCTCCTCTGACAAACATCTCTTTGTGATATAGTATGTATTGTTCTCCAGTGGATCAGGAAACACTGATACATGCAGGCAGCTTAAAATACTAAAAGGTATATAGAAAATGAAAATAGCCCTCAGAAATCTTTCTTACTCTACTTATTGTAAAAACCCTTTAAAAATCAGATTGAGCCTCCTGATCACTCATTTGTAGTGTAGTGTCTTCGGCCATCCTAAACTCTGAAATGTTTTTCGGATTTCATATCGCTTAACACCATATCCCAACGGGCATTGCGGCTAAAACATCCAATCACCGAGCTTCAAGCTGAGGATCTTGGGTAATCAGTTCAGTGGGTGTGTATCGCAATGATGCTCGAAATGTCCCGTATAGGCCTACGTCTGTTTCCGGTGACTTTATTTTGAAATTCAGTTCCTGAGGAACGGCTAAAAAGCCCAAGATTATAGAATTAAACGAATAAATAAAAACAAGGATAATTGTGTGTTATTGTTGAGTAAATAACAGTATGTTATTTAGAAAATAATAACAAATTAGAAGGAAAAAAAGATTGAACAAATACAGATTTCGTTATTCTGAGGCTCTGAGCCCCATTTATTTTCCTTGCGGACGGCAAAAAAAGTCAGACATTATACGATTTAAAATAAAAACAATAATTGTGGCTTGGTATTGAGTAAGAACATGTTTTTATGAACCACACAGCTTCCGGTCTACCATGACCCGACCGGACAAAAAGAAGTGGTGCAGGCACAAAACGTGGCGTACCATATGCACGCAAAACTCGGCCTCAGAACTCAATGGGAATGGTTAGCGTATCATATGCACGCAAAATCGGACTTCTGCGTATCTATTGCACGCATTTCCAATGTGTAAAGTCGTGTCATTTGTACGCAGACTGAAGAGAGTGGGTTGGTAATTAAATCAACACTCTAGAGTTGTTAGGAGAATTCAACAATTGACTCCCTGTTTCAACACCAACTCGTTTTGAATAATAACTATCTTGGAGTTGAATGACACTTAATATGAGTTGAAACAACTCTATTATTTAAATTCCCAACTCCAACACTGAAAATATAACACTTTTGATTTTGCTGTGATTATGTATTATTTTAATATTTTCTTTACATATGAACTTAGAAAGGGTTAACAAACATCTGTTCTAGTGATAGGACTATAAAAGAGGACTAAGCTTGCTTACCGTGTGTGAATTTCTTACAAAGAATATGCTATACAGTGCTGTACATAACACCATCAAGATAAGCATCAAGAGTTACTCCTTTTGTCCACTAAATCTCTACTGGCTGCCATCTGTGAGTCTGCATGACTAAGATTAGATGAAACTTTAATGATCTCTGGGGAAATTGGAGAACTTGCGTATTAACAAGGACATCAAACAGTGCTGTCCAAATGTACCTGCTGCTTAAACTGCAACCAAAGTAAGATGAGATCAGGGAGGGAGAGGACATAATCATTCAAGAAGCCCATTTCCACACAGTTGTCTATACACCTGTCATTAAACGTGTTTTCTGCTGCTGTTTGCATTTTCACCACCCACCATCTGTCTGCTCTGTCATCAGCGAGTTACCTTGACTTTCACCCATGTAGAAGATTTTAAAGTTGAGAAATTAACTTATGAAAGCTTTTTGAAATACTTAAATCATACCAGTGCACACTTCTGTCTACTCTGTGTCTGTTAGATCTCAATAAAGCAGCAGTGTATCAGCATCCATGTGTTATATCTCATCTTGGAGAAGGAGTTTGTTCGTGACAGACGTATTGGCAGACAGGATACTGCCTCAGGGGAACACACATACACCTGAGAAAGTTACAATGTGGACCAAATTAAGAGTTTGAGACAATTGATATGGGGCAGTTATTCAATACTTAAATAATCCACTGAACGACAGACACACTTACAGACACATGCACACCTCCAGCAGCCTCAGTCAGGTGAATTACGAGATCAATAACGCAGGGGGGGGGGCACACCAGGTGAGCTGGAAGGTGGTGAGGGTGAATTCTAATGGCAGCTGCAGGCACCGCAGTGTAGGAACCTTCAAAGTGGAAACTCTTCCTTCATGCGCCTTTTTTTTAAATTCTCAACCTTCAAACAGGGAATCAGGCTCTTTTCATGTCCTTTGCTTGAACAACCGCTGCATGATTAATTAAATGCATACCTTGATTTCATGTCACTGTATGCTATCAAATATGTTATTCCATCAGATGAATTTAAATGCAGGTAGCAGGCTCTGCTGCCCTCCTGCAGAGTGACGATTAATTCATTTGTGTCTGTTCAAGTTATCAAAGACTGAAATATATCCATAACTATTTCACAGACTGGCATGATATTTGGTAAAACATCCATGGTCCCCAGAGGTGGACCCTTGCTTATCATGTTATGCCACCAGGAGGCCAAATGTTTCACTTACAAGGTGAAATATTTGAAAATGTGCTTGATAGTTTGCCGCATAACATTCAAACATTTATGATTCTCCGACTTTGAATCAGATTGGATGCCGCTTGTTTCCTACAATTGAATTCCTAAACAAAAAAACTGCCATTTTAATATTGGTATTGAGGGAAACATACTTTCTCCCGTGTTATGGACGCAGTTTTCACATTGGTAAATTAAACCAAACAAAGCAAAAATGCTAAAAAACGACTTCTTAAGTTAAGTAAAACATTGTATTTTGGCTTTAAATAAGTATGTTTGAAGTTACGCATATACAGAAAAATACTCAAGATTGACTCTAGGTTTCTACACAGGACACAAACACCATGTCTCTTGGTACTTCCATAGGAAAACTACACTGTTTGATTACTTTCTGTGTGCACAATTTGTATAAATTGTATAATGACATCTCCTTTATTTGTTTTCCCTTTTGTAGTAGGTATGTATATGCTCCTTAGATGTTATTATTTATAAAGTGGCATCCCTAGAAAGCTTTTTAAAAGCACATCTCTCAACTAGACGCCGGCAAAAACCCTCCATTTCATCCTCCAAATGTTTACCTCATCTTTCTGTGTCACTCTGATGTACAGTTGGGACACAATAGCTTATGGCAGATTCATAGCATGATAATAGTAACCTGTGTCTGATAACTATTATAATGCTACCATTACCAGGCCTCTCACAGGACACCAAATAGCAGCAAATTGCAGTCATTACTAGCGCTTGGACAAATACTATGCTAGATATAGAGCCTATATGATAGAGGAAGGGGGGGGGGGGGGAAATGTGTCACGCTCAAGCACAATAGCCAGGGAGAGA